TTCTCTGTTGCCTGCCTCTTTTCTTCTTTTTCCAGTTCTTCACACTAGCCTGAGCAGTTGTAAAGACAGGAGCTGCTGTAGTTTGTTGTTGTTGTTGTTTTTTTTGCAAGCCGAAGACGATTTTGCTTTACATCAGTGTCCACATGGCTGCTTCTTGGCAGACCATACGCACCCTGACCGTGGTGCCCTAGTTAACAGGAGGCAGTCTGTCTGAATCTGTGGTTGGTTGCTGGTTATTTGAAGGAGGTGGCAGATGCTCCTCTTCCTTCTTCCTTCCAGCTTTGTGTGCATGGATTCACTGTACAGATGGATGCTCATCTTCTTTCTTCCTGCTTTGTGTGCATGGATTCACTGTACAGATGGGGAGGTGCATCAAAATGGTCTGGCTGCAGCTGCTTCTTGGGTCAGATTTGTTCTGTCACCTTCCTGCCTGAGGAGAAACTTTAAAAGGTAAACCCCTCTGTGTCTGTGGATCGCTTTTAAGGAATGATGGTTCCCTGGGTCAGTTCTGTGGGTGATAAGATTTGGATGGGGAAACATTAAGATGAACAGCAGCCTCTGCACATCCAGAACTGGAGTTATGAAGCAGCAAAATTATTAATTTCCAGATAATTAAGCTGTGTTAGTCTGTTTCAGTTTGTTGGCAACATTAATGGAAAAGAGGACAAAAAAAGAAACAAAGACAAAATGTTTTGTCCTTTGTTTCTCTTCCTTTCCTGTTTTCTCTTTAGTTTTGGCAGCATGCAGAGGAATTAGTGTGCAGGGCAAAATGACAGGGGGAAGAAAACCTAGTACATTAGTAAGATGTATATTTTGTGAGTTATTAGACAGCAGCTGACAGGCGTAATGATTTTGAGAGAAGGAATGGGCGTTTCCTAAAACAGAGAATCCACAAGTTATCTTTGTTCTCCCACACCTAACTGGTAACCAGTGCTGAAATGTTATCAAATCTGTATTCTGTTGGGCTTTAGGTTTTACAGACATTTGTAGTATGTTTTTAAAATGGCAATTTGTTCTGTCTTTGTGTGGGTTTTATTTATTTATTTATTTGTACATTTCTTTGGAGACTCTGGTAAACTGGAAATTGAAAGTAATTGACTTGCACCGTTCATAATTATTTAAACATTGCAAATGTCCTGAGCGTAAAGTAATACTTGAGGTTGCAGTTCTAAACCTGTGTGTTTGGAATTACATTGAGACTAGAAGAATTTACCTCTCAGTTGATTATGAGGATTGGGGACAGGTTAATACACAGAATTTAAGTTTCGTCCACATAGGATGTGGAGCATTCTGTTCCAGTAAAATCAAGATTTTGTCTCGGTTTTGGCTCAGCAACTGAAAATAGGGTTTGGCTTCTTGGCAGTCCTCTCTTCTTGTCTTGAGTGGGATTTTAGGGCCTCTTGATAGGGGATAGATCAGGCAGACGGCTTGTTTAATCTGGCTCTCAAATCAGATTGTCTTATGGGTTAGTGAGGTGGACTTGATTTTTCTTGATAAAGGTTTAAGTCTGATTTTTTTTACTCATTTTAAATTGCTTTTTTTAATTTAAAAAAAAATACTCTTTACAAAGTAACATCAATGCCAGTGTTCTATAAAATGCTCGAAAACACATTTCAGATTTTGGAGGAATACATAAAATAATGAAGTAAAAGCATCAACAGACTTTTAAATACACCATTGTAATAGGCTGGCTTTGTACTTCAGCTTAGCTGTACTAAATATTTTCGTAGTGTGCTGTAGTCATCATAACACAGCAACTGTCATAGAAACTACTCAGAGAATTAGCTGTTTTGAACCCATAATTTCGATTTTTAACTGACTTTGTCCAACAGAATCTTATTAGGTAAATAGCATCTCTTTAGCTGCTAGTTCTGAACTTTCTGACAAGGGAAGACTGGTATGAACTGAAAGAAGCAGCTGCTTTGTATGTCCCTGTGTTCTGTCATTTTATGTGTGTATTCAGAAAATCGGCGTGTATTTTTACTTGATGGAGAGGAAAGAAGACTAATGTGAGTAATGGCCTTGCCACCGTGTTTCAGAAACAAATGCTTAGCAGACTTCTAGGGTGCACTCCTTGATCTGAAGACCTTCTAAGCACTTTTCCAAAACAGAACCTTACTTAGCAATCCTGTAGAAAATGTCACTAATAAAAGGATTGTCCTTTTGGATCTTGGTTCTATTAGATTCTTTGAAAATGCTGTTTTAAACATTTTAATAAAAAAGGGGTTTGAGTCTTTCCAGAGGGGAGGGAACTAGAGAAGCTACTCTGAAAACGCTCCTGCCTTGCAGTCAAACAACACTGCATGACAGTCTGCAAGTCACTACTTTTCCTTAGTATTTCTGATGCCTTTTCGGAAATGAAAATTCCATTCTGCTTATGCAATGGGCTCCTCACATTGGAATCCTTATACATCTTAATGAGAAGTTATTTGCATGCATGAATTTCCCTGAACAATGCTCTAACTGTTGAAAGTTCACTGTTTCACTTAGGATGGTGGCTTGTAACAATTGCATGATTGATAACTTGAAGAGACTGTAAAATAGTCAGATCAGTGATTTCCTTCTTAAAGGGACACCGTGAAGCCGAAGAACCACTTGGGTTCATTTAATTTGGCCTTGCTAGCAAGATGGATTTATTCCTTGCCATGTTTTATTAAAATGTTTTCGCACTGCTATAATTGGTGAGTTACTTCTACTGTAGTTCCTTTCTCCAACTGCTAATGTGTGTGATACATGTCCTGGCAAAAAGCATTGAGATGTGCTCAAATGAAAATAATCACCGACAATGTTAGATTACTTACCTGTGCTTTTTTCATCTAGTTTGACACGTCTAATATTGCTGTTCCCCTTTCTCAGGAGAGTCTCAGAGCAGTCGGACAGAACAAGTGCCTTCCCAGTGGGAACTACTTTGAATTAAAAAGCCCCCTTTCAATTTATGTTTGATGCGCTGTGTCTTGTGTGTGCAGAGCCCGCTGTTGTTGATGGTGGAGCTAATGGTCAAAGGATGAGGCTTCAGAAAGTGATTTCCTCCTTTCCATAGTGAGTGAGTTCAGCATTTGATCCATGAGAGTGTCCCAGCTAGATATGGTGAGACCTGTTCTGGAGCTTTCCCTCTGAGAATATTCTGTGCAGAGTCTTCCACTGAAGACTATACATGTTACTTAGTCTGAAGCCCTCCCTGGGGTCCTGGAGAACCGTGAGGGTAGGGGTAACATACCGGTCATTGCTCAGTGAACCAGGCAGCATTGCCGCGCTTGTTTCGACCTAGTGAGCCTTAAAGTGCACAAGAATAGAAAATGTGCCTACACAGCAACTCCCTGATCTATGGGAGGCTTAATTATGGCGTCCTGTATCATACTTCACCTTGAACATGTCTCGTAATGTCTACTAACGAGAGAACAAATTTGGTGGTGTGGAGGGTCGGGAATGTGTGGATGAAAGACTAGTAACAGATAAGTTGACGGTGTATGTGGGCTAATAAATTGTATTCACGAAGGCTTTCATGGCCGGGATCTAATGGTTGTTGTGGGTTTTCCGGGCTCTTTGGCCGTGTTCTGAAGGTTGTTCTTCCTGACGTTTCGTCAGTCTCCATGGCCGGCATCTTTACAGGACTAGAGTAGGAACTCTGGAGTAGGAACAGAGCATGGACAGAGTTCCTGCTCCAGTCCTCTGAAGATGCCGGCCGCAGAGACTGGCGAAACGTTAGGAAGAACAACCTTCAGAACATGGTCAAAGAGCCCGAAAAACCCAGAACAACTATCTATAATTATTATTCTGTATAACAGGTCAGCACTACATGCCAGTGAGCATGGCAATGCCCTGTGGCTATGATGAGCCTCCTGGGTTATGACATGAGACTGAGGTTCAGCACCTGATTTGTAATGTGAGAGACCTTGGTGGTCTTAAATAGCCTGCATACTCATGAAGTTGCTAGAGGAGCATTGCAGATGTTTTATGGGAAAGAAAGCTGAAGGTTGAAGTTCAGAATGATTAGTGAGTAGTACTGTATTGGCACTAGCATGTTACTCCACCCTCGCACTTTGAACATCCCACTGACAAGCACTGTCATTTTCTATTGCTTGCTCTCTGATACCTCTAATTTTTTTTTACTAGCCCAACAGTCAATTAAAGGTGCATTTGCATAGGTCTCAAAATTACCTTCAACTTTATGTAATAAAAAACAGATCACAGGGTTCAGGAGTTTAGAGTAACCATGTTTTAAATTGCTGGCTCAGTGATTTGGGTACCACACTGCAGATCCTGTGATCAGAAGCTTGATTTTCAACTATGCCTCCTGGGAGAAGCCCCCGTTTGTGTAGCCTTGGGTAAGCTGCAGAGTGCCCATAGGAGAAGGGAATCACAAATCACTCCTGAGTAACAATATAATATACCGTATTTTTCGCACCATAAGACACACTTTTCCCCCACAAAACGGGGGTGGAAAGTCTGTGCGTCTTATGGAGCGAAGAAAACAGATTATATTTTCCTGTTTCCTTCTCCTAAAAAAATGGTGCGTCTTATGGAAAGGTGCGTTTTATGGAGCGAAAAATATGGTAATCTTAGAACTGCACAGCTGGAAAGGGGCCCCATTGATCATTGAGTCCAGTCCCTGTCAGGGAGGCATAGTGGGGAAATCAAACTCCCAGGCTCTGGCTTTGCAGCCAGAGATAACTGAACCATTTATACCTAGAAAACCCTGGAAAGGGTTGCAGAAGTTGGAATTGATGGCTTGTTATTCATCTGGAAAGGGATGATGGGGAATGCCGTTAGCACTGCAGAGTTCAGATGGGATGCAGTCCTCTCTACAGGTAGACTGAAAACAGTCGAAAGCCTCCAAGCATTAGACTGGATGTTCTGGCTCTACTCTTGGTCTACGTATACTTCTCAGCAGCTTGTCAAAGGCTTGTGTGCAGGTAGTGACTTGCAGATAACGTTTGCATGACAAATTTTAATCCATGGATTGCAGAATTTAGCACTGGGTGTAGGGCGTTCTGCGGGACATGGCTGTAAGGTGCGTATCAATTGTATTGTGACCTGTGGATTTTGTATGTGCCATTTCAAGTATCCTACCTCTTTGCATGCTTTTGTAAAACAGACTGAAAACAAGGCTTCTCTGGGGGCTCCTTGTTCATCCTGTCCTGTTGATGATGGCTTAGTTATGGCTTTAGACATAGTTTGTAGTCACATGGGACTATAGCAGCTAATGCAAGTTTGTAGATATTTGTTGGTCTGTCCCATCAAGTCAGAAGCGACTTATAGTGACCCTGGTAGGGTTTTCAAGGGAAGTGAGGTATTTAAGGAGTAGTTTTACCCGTTCCGCCCCCGTCAGTGAGTTTCCACGGCAGAGCTGGACAATTGAACCCAGATCTCCTGGGCCTTTGTCTGTCCACTACACCACACTGGGTACCCTTTGTAGACAATACTGCTTGGGAATAGGAGTTAAATTGCTTGCAATAAAGAGCTACACCTAGGCATGAGTTATTAGTATGAGAGTGTGGGTGGGAATACAGCCACTCCTTTGACAGTGGCCGTATAAGTGTACAGAGTTCCTTGGCAGTAGTGAGTGCCTTATCCAAAGCTGTGCTGTTGGTATGTTCGCTGAGAACTGTCTGTGTCAGTCTCTCCAGTCTTTCTCGGCGCCATCTTTCCCAGCCCTTCCTGGAAGGGCCAGTGTTGAACCTTGGACTGTTTGCATGAACTGCAATGACGGGGATTAAAAATCTTAGTCACAACTAAGCTTGGTAGGCTTGAGATCACTCCCTTCATATGCCCCTTTCAGATGTGTTCCTGGAAATAAGTTTTCCAAAAATGTATCTTCCAAAAGTGACAGCTATGTGTTTGGCAAATACATGCATCTCACAGGTGTGCTCCTGAGGGAGTGGATAAGATAGAGTGAGCTTGTGTATAATATGAGATACTGTTCTTGAACAACCTGAAGATAACTGGAGCTTGGTATCTGAAGCTGAGCAAGCTTCAGAGCCTACTAATGGGCTGAACAGGAAAAATGCCCCAAGTCTCAGTTATCCTGCTGAGCTTGGGAAAAATAAAGTGTGTCCATACCTTCCTGAAAGCCAAAGGCCTGAATCCACTTGGTCGTCCGGGCAAGAGTGAACCCATTTGAACTCATTGTGAATCAGCCCTTCTGTAAGTCTCACCGATTCAATTGGGTGCGTCGTCGTTTTAGTGGAAATACCAGTGGGATTCAGGCCTGTCTATCCTGTCAACTTTCTTGACTGCAGTGCAGAAGGGATAATGGAGAGTCTGTCAATCGAGAACCATCCTCTGTAAAGAATTTGCATATCTTCTAACCTGTTTCTGGAAGAATCATAGGGGAGGCTTGTGGCCCCTTAAGATTTAATAGGCTTATTGTGCAACAGGACACTTTCACATACTTTCCTAATGTTTCCTAGAAGTGTTGTCTTGTGAGGAGACAGATGCAGAGAGAAAAATTAGAGACCATTTACAAAAGTTGTAAACAACAGTTGCAGAGCAAAAAGCTCTGCTGTGCAAGAGGTGGCCCAGGCTGACATTCCTGTGCAAAGCTCAAATGTCTGTAAGATCTGCACCATCATCCTTTGCAACAGCAGTAATTGGAGATTACATTCATTCACAAGCAGGCTGATGATATTCTCATGGAAAGGCAGTTTGAGAGCAGAAACTTTTAACTGTGGAAAAAATGATCTGCTTTAATAGGGATGCAAATGCTCCCAGTTTGTAGGCTAGCCAAATTTCAGTTTGTAGGCTAGCCAAATTTTCACACATACAAAGCCCTGTCTTCAGTACCAGAGGCGATGTGTTTTGTCTGCCAGTTTCTTTAGCTGCAGCAGATCCTTTGCTTCATCACAGAAGTCAAAGGTGGGCCCTACACATTCTTCATCATACCAGGGCACATGATATATCTTCTGTCTTGAGCAGCTGTCATGCTGAAAGAAAGAAAGAATGTGCAAAAGGAGGTATGGCTTTATTGATGAAGCTTGGAACTACCCAAGCCAGCATTCCCTTCCTATATGCTTGTAAAGCTGTGTGTGACTGTGCACAGTTCTCCTGGGTGAGCAACAATTCCGATGTATTCAGGTGCAAAAGATGCTGATGTTTGAGGCACCTCAGTGTGGTGGGTGGGGAGTGGCTCTCTGCTCCCAAAGGAACCGTAGAGGATGTTTTTCAGTGGAAGAGTCTTAGAGAATTCTGCAGGGTGGGGATGTTGCTTGGCATCCCTGTGTGGGAAGATATGGAGTAAAGGCTTTCATAGAAAACCGGTCCTTCCTCGACCTGCATTTCATCCCTGATCTGGAAAGGGACATTTTTGCTTCGTTTGCAAAGTGTGCTGGGTACAATCGGTGTGTTGAAGCCATGTTTCTTTTTGATGGAAAGGAACATCACACCATGACCAGTTCTTTCCCAGGGAAGGACCACAATTCACACAACTGATGGAGACTATCCAGAGCTAATAATACCATCAGTCAGGATGATTCTGGGGGGAAGGGGAACGAGCAACATTTTTTGGGGGTAAACAGGACTAGAGTCTACTTCCTCAAGTGAGTGAAGCATTATCTCTGTTAGCCAGGCATCTCCGTCAAAAGTTTTTGGCATTTATGCACAGAGAAAAAAGTTTGTAAGCAGACCGAAAGGCAATGAAATGGGAGAGCGAACAGGAGGTGGTGTCACATTTCGATCTTGAGCAATAGGTCTGACAACTATATTTAAAAGCATGATCCCTGGACAAACAGTAGTCACCGGTTATCTTAATATTTCTTGCTGTCCTAATTTAACAAGAGAAGGTTATTTAAGTAAGAAAGATAAGACCTTAGCTTAATTTATTCTGGCTTAGAAACTGAGGCAGCCTTTCTGAAACGTGCTAGCCTTTCTGAAACGTGCGTCTTAAAATCTCATTAGATCTAAACAGGGCTGCTCAGAGGAACTGTGATCTCTTAGGCAGAAAATAGGACTAGTTTGCCCCGTTTTGCTTTTCAATACAGGCCAGAATCCCGAGAAGAGATGGTCTGGATGAGTCCTAATGAAGAAGCACTCCCATTCATTTCATCAGGCCTCACCTCCCATCCCCTTCCAGGGGATTCTGCCATATGGGCTACGCTTGTCATTTCCATGAAGGGACAGCCCCATGATCTGCTGCCAGGAGGGGATTCTTCGGCAAAGCCATTTCTGCATGGGAATCGTGTTTTCCAGTTTGTGTACTGTTGCCCTGTTACACCCGGAGTGTCTCTTTGATAGCGCAGGCACACCGGCTTCTGACTAAAACCTGGAAACAGGTTCAGTAGGATACAGTAAGAGGGTTTCTCTTTAGAAGAGTCCGCCTGCTCTGGCTCTGTTGGAATCCCTGTTTTGATTTGGAGGAAGGCACTTTTAGCTCTTGGGGCAGGTTAATGTTGCTGCCTGTCTCTCCCTGGGGGGGGGGGCGTCCTCTGATTCAGTCCTTTCTGGTGAGGTCAGGATAGCAGGCAGCCTCTCTCCCTAACAAGGCCTGGACTTTGTTGAATCAGGCAGAGATACAACAAACCCACTTTCCACTAGGTGGGTTTCTCTTGTGTGAGCCAGCATCCTCATGAAACCCTGGCAGTAAATTTCTCAGTGGGTAAAAGTCAAGCTCCCTCGTGGTGTCTGGTGAGTGTGGTCCCTGGGCTCACGTAAGCCTTGTGGTTATTCGGGCTCAACAGCAGCTGTGCTTTCACAACACACCGTTTGGGAAGGACTGACTTGGACTTTTTAAGACGGCCTGCTCTCCCCCTCCTATTAATCCATGTCCAGCTTAAACGGCCTCCTCTTCTATCTCATGGACTTCATTTTATAAAGTCCACTTTGGAGGCATTTCGCGTAACCTGCTTGTCAGGAAGCAGCCGCCAGCCACCAGCCCTGCGGTATTGGTGGGTGCAGCAGCTCACCACTTCCTGTTGCTGCCGGGAGGAAACAAAGGAAACGTCAGTGGATGCCTCATTTTAGCCGCTCATTAAGGGCTGCAATCGCTCCTAAGACTTTCCATTGTTGCCCTGGAAGAAAGAAAAATGAAAAGCAACCCTCTGCATTTCTCAGCTCGGAATAGGAATTTATTTCAGTGGCATCAGTGGCTGTGTTGGTGGTCCACGTTCTTTTGGTGGACCTTTTGGGTTGCAAAAACCAGCTTTTGTGTAAATAGATGGTTTAAACATAACTTTATGGGTGTTTGAATGCTCTTTTAATAAATTAGGAGAGGGGAGGAGAACAAAGGTATTGAATAAAATACCAGTCTTGGCTACTGGATCCTCCATCGGAGCTTCTATGTAATGTTAAGTGGGAGTAACCCCTCACTGAGCACTTTCTGTGCAGAAACGTTTGGGAATGTGTTCCATCTGAACAGAATGGATGTGAGCAGAGATCTGTAGACAATTTTATTTGGAGTTCTGCTAAACCACAGCGTTTACCCATTGTTCTTCATTGTCTGAGAAAATTACCCAACAGATTTCAAAAGCAGATGTTGTTTCAATTGTTCATCAACAAGAGGTAAATTAATTGGAGGGGGCAGGGAAGACCTGTCACTAGGAATGGCCTGTGGGTGGACAGGACTCTGGATTTGCAGTGTGTAAAATGAATGTATCCTGGTTTCTAATTACTTAAACACAAGAGTAAATGATGATCACCTTAGACCAGGGTTGGTCAGCCTCCTGAAGGCTGCGCTCCCCCCCCCCTTATATATTTCTTTTTGTCTTTCATCCCTCCTAGAATGCACAGGGAGATATTTTTTTTGAGTCAAAAGGAATTTTAACAGTGTTCAGGGCAGAGGGTCTGTATTTGGACCCTTGGCAACAGCCCGAATCTTGCCCATTCCTGGTGTAGATTCTTAAGACTCACAGGACAGAGCGATTCCTTTATGGAAGGCTGTGTCACTTGGCTTCCTTAGACTGGCCAAGGCCCTTTATGCCTCCTAGTGTCCAACTTTTGTTGTTTAAAAATCCATCCCTGGTCTGTGTGACTTATTATAGGGAATGGTTGGTGGCAGCTTAGTGTAACGTGTGGCATATCCCAGTAGGTCTGGGTTTGTCACAGATGCCTCATTTTAGCCGCTCATTAAGGGCTGCAATCGCTCCTAAGACTTTCCATTGTTGCCCTGGAAGAAAGAAAAATGAAAAGCAACCCTCTGCATTTCTCAGCTCGGAATAGGAATTTATTTCAGTGGCATCAGTGGCTGTGTTGGTGGTCCACGTTCTTTTGGTGGACCTTTTGGGTTGCAAAAACCAGCTTTTGTGTAAATAGATGGTTTAAACATAACTTTATGGGTGTTTGAATGCTCTTTTAATAAATTAGGAGAGGGGAGGAGAACAAAGGTATTGAATAAAATACCAGTCTTGGCTACTGGATCCTCCATTGGAGCTTCTATGTAATGTTAGTGGGAGTAACCCCTCACTGAGCACTTTCTGTGCAGAAACGTTTGGGAATGTGTTCCATCTGAACAGAATGGATGCCAATTCTTTTGTTAAATTTAGCTGTGGTGTGAGCAGAGATCTGTAGACAATTTTATTTGGATTTCTGCTAAACCACAGCGTTTACCCATTGTTCTTCATTGTCTGAGAAAATTACCCAACAGATTTCAAAAGCAGATGTTGTTTCAATTGTTCATCAACAAGAGGTAAATTAATTGGAGGGGGCAGGGAAGACCTGTCACTAGGAATGGCCTGTGGGTGGACAGGACTCTGGATTTGCAGTGTGTAAAATGAATGTATCCTGGTTTCTAATTACTTAAACACAAGAGTAAATGATGATCACCTTAGACCAGGGTTGGTCAGCCTCCTGAAGGCTGCGCTCCCCCCCCCCTTATATATTTCTTTTTGTCTTTCATCCCTCCTAGAATGCACAGGGAGATATTTTTTTTGAGTCAAAAGGAATTTTAACAGTGTTCAGGGCAGAGGGTCTGTATTTGGACCCTTGGCAACAGCCCGAATCTTGCCCATTCCTGGTGTAGATTCTTAAGACTCACAGGACAGAGCGATTCCTTGGTGAAAGGCTGTGTCACTAGGCTTCCTTAGACTGGCCAAGGCCCTTTATGCCTCCTAGTGTCCAAGAAAGTGTTTTCCCAGTAAAGTAAATGAAGACTTCAGGACTACATTCTAGCAGCGAATATAGAATGCTATGCATGGATGTGGGTTTGGTCCAAGTGATGACAACAGCAGAAGGGCCGGATATACATTGACTCCTCCACCCACCTGAAGTGCACGGAAGTGTTCTGGACATCCATAGAGGACACTGACAGAACTCCCTGAGCGGTCTTGTCGCGGCATTATCGGATTTGAGCGAGGGAAGGCAAGGCAGCAGAGCAGCGTGTAGAATCCTGATTAACACAAGGCTTTTTGTTTCCCACAGGAATTGATTTTAAAATCAGAACAATAGAATTAGATGGGAAGAAAATCAAACTTCAGATATGGTAAGTGTATAAGGGTATAACATGCCTTCCAGCCACAGCTGGTCCAAAGTGTGCTTTCCAGTGGGTTGCTGCTTATCTCTCTCAGAATCTCATCCTTGAATAACCATGGGCATCATTATTCATTGCTCAAACACCAGAAAAACAGTAGCTACCTAGACTGCCTTACGATGTTGAGGTATCATTCAGGGCTGAATAAGGATGCTGCCCCTTAAGTTTTAGATACAATTCTATCTACAGACTTCTTCAAGACCTCTGGTGTGGGAGAGGTCAGGAGGTTCCTTGTGTTGAGCCAGGACCTCAGCAGGGCCCGCATGTCACGGGTCGGATGCCTGACCCTTGAATTCACCCCCCCTCCCCAGCCGTCCCATTTGCTACATGTCTCTTTTGTTGACAGGGACACTGCAGGCCAGGAAAGGTTCCGCACCATCACAACCGCCTACTACAGAGGAGCCATGGTAAGCATTCTCTTTCGTACCTGCATTTTGATGGCCCGTCGGCCCGAAGCATACCAGAATCTTGATTACTGACTCTGGGGATCCTCCTAAGTTACAGGTACATCTTTGGCCGTACCTGTGGGGAAGACCGTCCCCGACCTCTTGCTTTGTAACATCTTTTCCCAAAGATGTTCATTGTTGAAGCTGTTCATTTTTTTTCAGACAATTGGAGTTTTGCAATATAAATATTTGTCCAAAAAAAATGTCACTGCAGTCCTGTTGGACTGAGCATCTCACTGAATAGGCCATACATCCAGTTGATTTTTTAAAAAAAAAATCAAATGGGAGTGGTAGTTCTCACAGGTGTGAACAGAATGTTTTATAGTCCTTATTGGCTGTAACTGGCAGGTCATGCCTTTAAGATGGATGCACCCGGCTGAGCGGGATTGGTGTGCCGGGGGTGGGGGTGGGGGAGAGGGCAGGGGTGCCGCTCCATTTCTTGAAATGCTGAGAATTGGAATTGGTTTGATGTGCTGAGACACCGGTGTAGGTGGGGAGAGAGAGTCAGCCTTGGGACAGAGTGGAGAATAGTGGGTGGTGGGAAAAGGGGCATATTTGAGGAAGAGCTTCCGCTCTGGAGGAATCTCCATTCATAAAAATGTGAACTTGAGAAGTACCGGCCTCAATCCAGTTGCTAGTTCCAACAAGAGGAGCCCCACTGAGTGAATAGTTGGCCAGCACTTAAGTAAATGATGTTGATTCTGTGGTCTCCTCTGGTTAGGATGGGCAGTTTGATTTGGACACGTACGTTTCCTTCCTCCTGATCATGTTTGCTAAATGGAAGTTCCTGAAGGCATAGCCGGAGGATAGGTTAGAAGAAGGGAGGCTGGAGCACAGAAACTCAGCTGAGGAGGGTGTTGCAGCAAAAGTACCCGACCACTACCTACTTATGTCGCTTAGGCATCATCTTCTGGGACGGTGCAGCTTGCCCAAGGCCACCTGGGCTGGCTGTTCTCCCAGAAGGTGTGGAATTGAACTCCCAACCTCTAGCTCCAGAGCCAGAGACCTAGTTCACTAAGCTATCCAGATTTCATAAATAGACATAACATCCTGTTGATCTGCGTATGCCTGTATTTTGGGGGAATCCTGAAGCTCCACCCATTGGCCTACTCCATGAATTCAAAGGGGGAGGGATACGAGATGCAGACCTGGAGGCAAACTCTCCCTCTTCCTTGTCGACCGTTGCAGTGGTTACAGCGGCAGGAGGGTGAATGGAATCCTGTGCTTGTCACTGATAGCGACTCTTGTTCTCTCTAGGGAATAATGCTGGTATATGATATTACCAATGAAAAATCTTTTGACAACATCAAAAACTGGATAAGGAACATAGAAGAGGTAAGATGCGTGTAAGAGAATAGCTAGTGTGACCCAGCCTGCAGCTTTGTAAAGTATTGAATTTTGGGTCACTTAGATTATACTGGTCTTTATCAGGGGAAATGGGGCCGGAGGGAGGTTTATTCTAATAGACCAATTCATGTCTGCAGTGAGCAAAATTGAGGATACTCACATAGTAGAGAATACTAACAAAAATGGTTGAGGGTGGGAGAGAGGTCAGATTAATACTGATTACTTTCTTGGGGAGGGATTAGAGGAAGATGACGTTTTCTGTGATGTGGGGTGGGGGAGATTAATCAAGGGCTGCTTAAACCAAAATTTAATGGGCTGCCAATGTTTCTATTTGCGGTCTATGAATGCTTGAGTGGGGCTGGTGAGGTACAATTTCAGTTTGATCTTTGATTAATGACTTCCCTCCCTTGTGCAGTCATTTTGCTTAGCTCTGAGCTGAAGCCTTGTTCATTTCCTCCCTCACGTGTTTATGGAGCGCTGCTTACCACTCACTGCCTATTTCATCTCCGGCAGAGCAAGGGACCTCATTCAGAACATAGCGGTTGCTCAGTAGAGTAACGCAAGCAACAGTTCAAGAGACAGGGCTCTGCCAAGCATAGGATCAGAAGAGGGAGCAGTGTGGGAGGGGAGGGCCCCAGATGCTCCCGGAGAGGCCCTGAAAGAGGATGCTTTTGGGCCATATGGTTTGATTTCTGCCCTCGGTGCTGTGCTTCCAGTTGTATGTGACATAGCATCCAGCTCATCTGCACCAACCTGTCCTTACCTCTGCATGCTATTAAATATACTGCCCAACTTTGTCTGCAAAAAATAGCTTTGAGCATACACTTGAAAGCACACACCATGTTTGTTGTGGAATAAGATTTGACCTTGTGTGTTCAAATAACTTGACTCCTTTCCGGATGTCTGCCATCTCAAATTGGGGGGGGGGGGGGGGGAATTGATTTTTTCTGTATCCATACCTACAGTCAAAGGGGTAGGGTTTATATTCCACATTGAGAGGATAGTGTAACACAGATCCATGTTCCATATAGCTAGGTAATAACTGTCCCGGTGCATTTGAAGACCTTACGTCTCTTCCTTAGGGAAAAAAAAGCTACAAGGGTGGATGTGAAATGTTTTTGTTTTTAATTTGGTGAAACTTTATACAAACAGGCCAGGACAGATCAGCCCCTGTAGTTATTTCTGTGGCTGATAACAGAGATGTAGCTGTTGCACATGATTCTCAGCAATGAAGTGCATACTTTGAGAGCTGAGAAAATTGTGCAGTTCAGTATATGTAAAGTGTCTCCTCCTTCTCCTGAGATAATTGTGTGTAGTAGGTAAGAATAATAACACAGCACCCTCCCCCGCCTGTTGCCTCGGAAGAGGTTTGATTCCACTTTAGTTGGTGCATCAGTATTTGGTTGAACACATCTTGTGACATAACCGTATTCTTCACTGTGTGCTTCCTCCCTTCAGCATGCATCCTCCGATGTAGAAAGAATGATCCTGGGCAATAAATGTGATATGAATGAGAAAAGGCAAGTTTCAAAAGAAAAGGGAGAGAAGGTAAATCTTACTTGCTTACTTATTTGTGTAGCTTTATACGCCACCCCATTAGTGCAATGCACTTTCTTGAGACAGTGAGTGATACAGGAAGGAAACTTGCTCAATTGTCTTCTGATATCTAGCCATCTGTTTTGCTCCATGGATAGATGCCCTTCACTATCTCAGAACTAGAATTACTGGGGTGAAATAGTAAGACAGGACAGGAGTCCTAATTGCCAGATTGTCAAATACAGCCAGGTAAGGAAGTGCCGGTCACAGTTTCAGGTTTACTGTAGTGCCGGCAGCCAGACTGACAGGTGAAAGAGTCAGTAGGTGGAGTTCAGAAGGACTCCACCACCAGATTGACTCGCTTCCTTGGACTTGCATGATCAGATGACAGCTACCAGTGCTGTCCGTCTTTTTAGGGTAGGGAAACAGTAGGAAGAAGGTAGAGCGGCAAAGCCCCATGAATCAGGCAGAGGAGAAATCATGCTATCTCACCCATCATTCTGCCCCTTTACACCCTTTCTCCCTAGAGGCTAGTGTAGGAGACCCTTCGGATATCCTATAGGGGAGGGCTAGAAAGGAGCTTCCGGTGCAATTTCACAGGCTGGTGCTGTGATCTAAGGTAGGGTTGGGCTTCTGCCGTCGACCATCCCTGCCATCTGGTTCTACTCCACAGTGTCTACGGGTGGCGAAAAACTGCTCCATTAAATGGGGTTGGGGAGGCTGGGTGGAATGCTGCAGGCCGGCGGTTGCACAAAGGGTAGCTCCTTTGGGGCTTTAGATGGGTTCCGTTGTCTGAATTTTTCCAGTTGCCTTAAAAAAATGTGGAACTTCCATTTTAATTCCTGGAGTTCATGCGTCTCTGACCAGATTCCTATTAAGCAAAAGCCCGTGGCCTGCATTTGCTGCTTGTACCAGCTGTTGGGTTGGCATCTTGCTGAGGCAGAACTGAAAGTAAAAAAGGGTGAGCATGAATGCAGGGTGGAAAGTCTTGAAATGTAAACCACCGGTAAAATACACAAGGTGGAATCATTCAAGCCCTTGTACTGCCTTCTGTCTGTGGTGACGGCGGATGGTTCAGCCCTGCACTCCACCCTGGTTCCCATAAGGGTGGGGCCCTCCTGGAATAAACCTCCCAAGAGGCAAGTGAAAGGCAGCCCTCCGGAGGGATAGCCATGTGTAGTGGTGATCCACGCTGTGAATGACTGAAAGAGCCCTCGCTCTTCATTTCAGACTACTTGTGACTCTCCATTGTGCCGTAACCAATAGTTTAACTCTCCTATCTGTTGAAAAGTAACTCCTGAAATGCTTACAACAAACTCTTAACACTCTTGCAGTTAGCGATCGATTATGGAATCAAATTTCTGGAGACAAGTGCAAAATCTAGCATAAATGTGGAAGAAGTAAGTATGACTTGAATCGCACACAGCAGATTTTTAAGTCTTTAGCTTTGTATTCATCAAATGAGTGTCAGGACCTAGACAGTGTCCAGATCTCACACGTGTGCTTGCCACGGTTGCGGGTCTTGGGCCCTCACAAGACATTACCACTGGGAGATTATTTATGTGGCCACTAATTTCTCTTCCAAGCTTTCTGGCACACTTGGGGGTTTGTGATCTGGCCGGGGGGTGTGTGTGTGTGGTGAGAGGAGGGGAAGCAGGATCTGTTATGTCTCACCCAGTGACTTCATGGAGCATTGCAGACGTATGGGGAGGGACTGCATCCCATGAGTGGAGTCTATGCATTGGATACAGATTGGCTAGACTAGAGACCTTGTTCACTTGCATCTCCAGTGAAAAAGATCAGGCAGCAGCTAATGAGAGAGCTTCCCCCTCCCTGGGAATCCGAGTTGTGGGCAGAGGTGGGAGACCGTGTTGGTCTGGATAAATGCTCTGACTTGGGAAACAAAATATTCCACGTGGCAGCTTTCCTTCTCCAGAGTCTGGAGCATTGGGAAAGAGGACTCTGCCCTTTCTCCCAAGACTCTGCCCAAGGTGAAGAACGCAAAGAAAAGGACAGCCGGGTCCCGTTTCAGTTAATATTTTGCTCTGCAAGATGGTAGCTCCGGCTCTGGGAATGGGGTAACAAAGCATACCAAGGGTTTGCCAGAGGTTGCCCTTGGTTTACAATGAAAAATGGTGATGCGGGCGGCTCTGACTGCCGCCATTGCCCACCGTTTTGTACATGCATTAGCTTGTCAGAATTGCACCCTTGTGTTTCTGACAGTACAGGGAGACTATATTGACCAGTCTGATCCTTTAAGAAGATGCTTCTTCCCTCATTTGAGTCCTTTGGTCAAGAGGAACCCTTGACCTTGCATGCCAGGTGCCTAAAAAGTACAGGGTCTCTGATATTTTTTTCCCATTTGTCCGATCGTTCTTTTTCATTTGTTCATTTTCAGGCTTTCTTCACTCTGGCACGGGATATTATGACAAAGCTCAACAGAAAAATGGTTCGTTTCTCTCGTTATGTCTCTTATAATTAATATATTTTATACATTAAGCAAGGGTTCTCCAATCTTGCCCAGCCTTACTCGCTAGCCTAAATTTTTGGTACTTGCTTAGGCAAAATGGCAAACCTCTGTACCTTTTAGCCACATGCACAGGGCCTCAGTCAAATTTTGTTTGTTTGTTGTTTTATTCTGAGTGTGTGCTGCTTTATACCACCCTGTAGCGCTTAAAGCACTTCCTGTATGATTTACAGTTCAATTTTACCAGCTACACATTGTCCCCCGCCCAACAGCTCGGTACTCATTTTACTGACCTCGGAACGTAGCGCTTAAAGCACTCCCTGGATGGTTTACAGTTCAATTTTACCGGCTACACATTGTCCCCCGCCCAACAGCTGGGTACTCATTTTACTGACCTCGGAAGGATGGAAGGCTGAGTCCACCTCGAGCCGGCTAACTGAGCCTGTTGGAATCAAACTTGGGTTAGGAGCAGCGTCTTGACTGCAGTTTAACCACTGTGCCATGAGGCTCCGAGTGCCGGGCAAAGGAGGAGGCTTCAGTGCCAATCTGCTCTGAAACATCTATTCTGTGCTTCAGTAGAGGTGACAGAGTACTGGAAACAGCCTTGTGGCTCAGAAAAAAAACTTGAACAAAAGGTCGTTTTGTTATGTCTACTGAACAGCCTTGTGGCTCAGAAAAAACTTGAACAAAAGGTCGTTTTGTTAGGCATTGTCTGAACTTAAGTAAGCAATTTGAGCAAATCAAATAGTGCGTGTCAGGGTTGCTCATGGAATTGGGAGTGTGGAAGTGACATTCCTTCCCCTTCACTCAGAAGCAACATTCGGCACCGTTTCTTCCCAAGTTCTTCACTTAGGAGGCCCTCGTGCAAGCCACTGGGACAGCTCGTAAGGAGGCCTGCAATGTCATGTCGCCCAAGCTGATCTGATGAGAGCCAGCAGTTTCTTATCATGTGCTTTGCCACCTGCAAGCAAGTTGCAGTGTTTTGTTTTTTTTCTTTTCCTGGGAAGATGCTCTTTCACACCCTCTCCTCAAGGGGACTTTTGGTCCTTGGAGATGTAAGCAACAAAGCAATACATGTGATCTCCTTCCCATTCTAGACCTCCCCCAAATGATCTACAAAACAGGTGTATCTGATGCAGAGCTAACTTGTCAGGCATTACAGGATTAAATGCCAGTAGGTTTCTGTTGGTCTGTAAAATTCAAATCAGGAACACTATTGGATGCAGCTTTTATTTATTTCTTGTTTACTCTTCATCTGTTTTGAACAGGAATTCTGTTCTGTACCCGTGAGCATTTCTTACGGGTACTTGCTAACACGGCTTTAGAAGAGGCCTCCGAAATCTTTACAAAAGGCTTGTAAAAGCATCATGCCCTGTGTGTCTCTTTAAGTGCCTGTTCTGGACATAACTAGAAGGATTCACCCATAGAACAGGGACTCATTTGTGGTTGCAACAAGTCGTCCCCTTTGAAGCTGCCCTGCAACTCTCCAGCACTTTTTCATTAAGTCCTGGAGATGGAATAGAATTACGTGGCCCAGAGGCAACTTGCAAGGAAGTTGGGTCAAACTAATAAATCACACAAACATTCGGTCGGGAGCATCTGAGAGAAGGCATTTCGGACTTCCAGGATGCTTTAGCTTCAGGCAGCCTGATTTTCTGGAGTTTTAATTGCTTAGATTCAAGTTTGGGCCCACCACTGCACAGCTGAATAGTTTTGTTTTATTAGTTCTCCTTTAGATTTGAATATTGTTGATGTGCCAAAACATTGGGCCAGACCTTATTTATTCAAAATAAAACAATGTATTTTTCTTTTCTCTCTCCTAGAATGACAACAGTTCAGCAGGTGCGAGTGGGCCAGTGAAAATAACAGAAAACAGATCAAAGAAGAGCAGCTTCTTTCGATGCACACTGCTTTGATGAACTTCTTAACAATAGACTGCAGCATACCTAGAAAGAAAAAAAAAGAAAAAAACCCTTTTCCTGCTACTCTGAAAGCACAGGCTCACCTAGCCTCTAGAGCTGTTACCACCAGGCTGCTGCTGAGGGCTCTGTCTGAACGTAGAGTGCACTAAACCAAGAGAAATGGATTTTAGTTTGCTCTGCTTCTCAACATGTTCGGCTCCTTCATCTCAAATACGGAAGCCCTGAAGTTGAGAGAGACACACGTGCAGGAGCTCAATCTTCCTTTCTTCTTCATTGCTTTGTTTCACTGCCTGCTTCAAAAGCTGCTAAAGTTTTCCCCCCCTCCTTTGCACATCTGTGCTAGCTTTTTGTTGCCTGTTAGAACACAGTCTTACACCTGTATTTGCACAGCTTTTTAATCTGGTAAGCATTCTCTAGCATAATTCTATTCCAGGTATTTCTCCCTCCCCCCCTTCTTTTCCTGCTGTGCTGTAGAAGACTAGGGTTGGATTCCACTGCACAGTACACAGGGGGCAGGATCCAGCCCATCATGGGGCAGCACTCCTGCACAGAGAGGATTTCTCTGTCCCCCACCCCACCCCAGCATGTGAGGCCATGCGTTTAAGTCAGTCTGTGCTTCCCGTATTCCCACCCAGCCACCCTGCTCCACCCTGTCTTAACTTAGTTATGCTCTTGAATGTGAATTATTTTCTTGTTGAGGCCAGAAAGAAAGTTGGGTGGGAAGTGCGAAACGTACATGGACTTTCTTCTGTGTTGTCTGATGCTGCCTGTGTGGGCAGAGTGAAGGGGGAAGAGAAAGTGCCATGCTCGCAGTTGTGCGTATGGGGGCCTGGTGGATCTCCTTGTATCTTTCTCAGGCATACAAATATGTCTGCCATATAAAAGTGGCTTTGTAACATGGCAGTGGAGAACTTAATACCTCAGGCACTGAATCTCCATGTGGGTGATAACTGCCCTTCTGTTTTAACAAATACATAGATCTGTTTATATTGACATGACTACTTCTTTTCTGAATGTAGGATATTGCTTTTCTGTCTTTTAGGTACAGAAGGTGTTCACTAACTCCTTTGTGGCAACCTAACATTAATTCAGCTCACTGATGACTTCCTTTCTGTTTCTTGCCGCATCCTGTTGAATTGAGAGGCGCTGAGTTTGTTCTGCTGTCTCAGTGCAGCAACTGTGTTTGAGTAGGAAGCGCTCGGGTTCCGGCTTGTTCCATATTGATAGAGAAGGTGCAGCGCATGGCGTTGGCCCCTGTAGCTTTCCTTTCCTTTCAGTAAAGCAGACACTTTACAAAATCACAGCCTCTCTTCTGCAGGTAATAACTCTACTTGAGTCTTGGAGTAACCAAGTAACCTTAGTTCACAACTTTAGAAGAGACCAAAACTTAGCTGCCTTTCTCACTCAACGGAGACTCAACTGCATATAGCTCGTGACACCACTGTTTAATTTCTTATAAAACGCTGAGTGACTTTTTAAACGGGTGCTTTCGTTCCCTTGATGTGCCAAATGTGGACCTCTGCAAGTGAGAATGACTCCTCAGGGGGCGCCACCTCACCTTTGATAGCACCGCGATTGATGTTCTGAAACGTGGACCAGTAGATAGCCACAGGGGCACACACCTTTGTTTCCCCGTTAGGTACAGTCCCGCGTTGTTGACACACATGTACATCCAAGGTGTCCCTTCTTTCCTCAGAGGGAAAGAGGCTGGCTCTTTGCAGTCAGCAGAGCTGTCTCACTGGCTTCAATCTTGGGGGGGTTGCGGTGGGCGTGGGGATCCCAAACACATTCCTCTGGGGTGGTACATCTGAGTGCTCTCCAACTCCGGCTCCTGTAAACTTAATAGTATATTGTCCCAGTTACATCTTGGACTGTGTTCCTGTCCCCATCTAGTTCAGTAAATAGGAAAAGAAGTGTGTTTCAGAGTGTTCAACAGCAAAATACGAGTATGCCTGATAGCCGTAGGTCCCACATTTGAATTAAAAAAGGTTTTAGGTTGTTGGTTTTTTTAAAAAAGTGCTTTCTTTAGGGCAAGTGTGACTACACTGATGAATGTCCATCTTTTTTATCACCTCTGACGTCTTTGTATTGTAATCTGTATCTCGGGGGGGTTGTCTGAAAGCCAAAACTGACAGGTTCTGTGGCTCCCTGCTACACATTTTCTTTGCTTTACTTTGCTTCCTCTTTGTTGGTAATGTGTTTCACATTTCTTGGTTCTTTGTACGGACATTTAGTCTCTATGAACTTCCCTTTGAGAGAGCCTGTAACGAGTTGACTTGATGTAAAGTGCTTCTTGACGCAGCAGCACATGGGGGTAATCCACTCTGTTTTGTCTTATTAAAAAATAATCTTGCTATTTTCTTATTTCTAGCTATGCTAAAATGTACATAATTTGAGTAAGACCATAGGCAATTCACTTTAAGCTTGGGGTGGGGATGCCGTACAGTTCACCCTCTTTCCTAAATGTTAATGTTTAGTTGTTCCTAGCAAAGGAACCTGTTGACATAATTGTCTATTCCCTGCTGAAGTTTTGATAATGTTTGTTTCATGTGGAAAAATATAATTTAGTCTTAAGGGAAGTGGGGGGGGGGAGCATTGATGTAGCCTGTGCAGCAGTATGAAGACCTGAGGCTGCATAGGGACCTTTACATAAAGGGTGGATCTAGGCCTTTATTTTTTTTTCCACCCCAGCAAATAGTATGCCTTCTCAAAGCGAAATGTCCTGTATCTTAGTGTGCAAAATCAGCCTTCCTGGCATCTGTCTTCCAGGTGCTGAGCTGCAGAAGCCATTATCCCCATGCTGCCTGGGGATAATGGGTGTTGTGGCCCAGCCCACAGGGAGGTCCCTGGGAGACAGCTAATGCAAGCCAACGGATTGTGTCACTGGAAACCCTCTCTGAGCGGTGGGCTCCATAGGCCTCCATCTCTCGACACGGATTGTTCTCAACATTTTTAGCCTTTAAAAGCTGCAACACTGTCAAGCTGGCTCCTCATTGAGGTTATTTAAGCCTCCTCCCCCTTTATCACGCAACGCATTTGGGCCTTGCTCTACAGATCCCATTCCTTTTAACAAAAGGCAGTTTGGGAAGCTTTTTCAGGAATTGAGAGTCGATATACAGTATTTTCTTCTCCCTCAAGTCCCTAGCTGACTCTTGGCTTTTCAACTGATGGGATACAATTCGAGATGTGCAGTCTTGTGGTTAATTAAACCTGTACCACTACTCCTTTCAGTTGGCCCCTTTTTTTTTAAATAACAAAAGAGTGCTTGGTTTTCATGTTTTACACATCTAGTAACACATTTAGATTCCCATGCTGCATATGGAGTATCCAAGTCCTGTATTGATCTTTGCATTTTCTCTGTACAGTACCTGTAAAATACTTGACAGCTTTTTTGAGAAGTATAGGGTGTTTTTTTTTAATAAACGGGGGTAAATTACCATTTCAAGGTGCATTCCCACATCTTACTTTCAAATTCAAAAGAATGAAGTCCACTTCAACCAGCCAAAAGGGATGTTATGTGTTTGATTCTGCTCACAGTTTGGTGGGGAACAATGTGGAATGCTTGTTGGCAGTTGATTAAAAAATGTGCACATGTTTCTTTAGCCGTGATGGAAATGGTCTGGTCAAAATGAGTGACCTTTTTGTAAGGCTTGGAAGATTAAGGTGGCTCATTTAAGGTCTCTGAATGGGTGTATTGTCGTATTCTGGCTTCGTAGTGTACCTTTCAAAATACAATGTTTTCTAGGTTCTGGAGAAGTGCATTCCTATGGCCTTACAAAACAAAAGAAATTCTGTGCAAATCACGTCCTCTTGGACTTAAAACTTTTAATGCAGTCTATTAAATTCAGAGAAAGTGTGGTTCAAAGTAAACGGATTCTCACATACAGTTATTCTGCCATGTGTAAAGCACATCTTATTTTTGCTCCAGAGGCATTAAGGAAGAGCTCCAGCTGATAAAGTGGACTTCTCGTGTGGTTAACTTGTAAACCTGATCAATAATTGTGTACTGATACTGTGTAAAAAGATGAAAAGGGGGGGTGTTATTTCAAGTGAACTCTTTTATAACTGTGCGTCTCAAATAAAATGACATAATTAAGTGTGTAGTTCTTGTATGAAACCTACAGTGTGATCACACAAGAGTTGCAGAATGCTGTAACTGGATCTTTAACGTTGGAAAGAGCTACAAGGTAAGAGATGAGCGTCTCCAGGAGCAGCAAAAGAACACATTTTTAATGTTGACACCTCAGATTTAAGGTGTAAGAATGTATATTGGACGAACGGCATTATTCATAAGCACCACGCAGCAATGTGTAGGCCATTTTGTGTAGTAAATGTTTGTGTGCTGGTCTTTATTGAAATACAGCTTTGAAGACCTGACAGAGTGAAAGGATGCATCAGTGGCATGTATTCTCATGGTGCAGAATGAGAGCTGAGTATCTGGTCCAGTTCAGTGGGGAACGGAAATACTTTTTTTTGGGGGGGGAGACCCCTAGACTGTTTTTTCGAGACCACTTGGTCCTGCCTTGTGCCCAACAAGGTGACCTCTTTCTCTTCCCAAACAAGAGGAGAAGGTTGCAGGTGACTACACGGAGGGGGGAGGGTTTTGCCCTTTTCTGTGGTGACCCCATTCCAGTTGGGGGGGCCACCCTTCATCCCTCATGATGAGCTGAAAGGTGTGCTAGGAAGCGAAGAGGCCTGGGATGCTGCCCTTGAACTGATGATGGAGGCCCCATTGTATGCAAAAAGAAATGTGTGCAGGAGACCCATCCCACCCCCTCAAGGCCTCTGGATACCGAATGAAGGCTCCGGCTGGGCAGGCAGGCAGGCGGGAGGGAGAGAAGCGCTTCCCTGCTGGTGGCAGGACCTCCTCCCTTGGGGTTTTTTTTGGGGGGGGAGAGAAGGGCTGCTGCCCACTTGACCGGTGGCATTCATTCATGGGAAAGGGCTGGCCTCCTCGGGTGTAGGGACAGGGTGGAGAGAGAGGAGCCTTTATGGCCGCCCGTATCCTGTGGCCTTCTGCCCTTCGCCCCCCCCCCCAGGATCGCCTTCCTGGTGCCGGCAGCCTAGCCTGCTGGTCGCGTCCCGGTGGGCGGCGGAGAGGCTGGGGGGGGC